AAAATTTTCAAAAAATCCAAATTGAATGTCTAAACATTTTTTTTGTTGAAAATTGTTTAAATTTTTTAACCTCTCTAAATAATTCTTTAATGGGGCTAGGTAAATTAGACTACAGACCATTAAAACGACAAGGCACTAAGACGACAAATTAGCGTTATTACATGTAAAATGAGCAGTTCAAATTTAATCGGTTTCAGTTTCTCAGAAATACAATGTGGAGAATTGCGTAAATTGTCGTCTTAAAGTCCCATCAAAAGCGGTTTTCGTCTTAACAGCTGTCGTCTTATTGACCGGGCACCCTTTTTACAACATATAGTCAATATAATTGCGTAAATTGTCGTCTTAAAGTCCCATCAAAAGCGGTTTCGTCTTAACAGCTGTCGTCTTATTGACCGGGCACCCTTTTTACAACAATTGTCAAAATCTAATGTAATTCTTAAAAAAAACGCTATTTATGCACACGTTATTTTTGCTCACCTCAAATTCTATCACACTTCGCTCCATGTGTTCACACTTTGCATCCGCTTCGTCCATCTTTCCAATTGGCTGTTCCAGTTTCAGAAAATTCAACTTGAACTCTTTTTTAGAATTGCTAACTGGAATCGTTTTTTCAAACGCGACTTCAGAAGCTTTGAAAAACTCTTCAGAATTAGTTGCCACCATAACTGTCGTGTCGTGATCTAACTCCCACACGCCCACAATTTCGATGTCAGGCGTGACGTCGACCATCCACTGAACGAAAGTAGGCAGTCGTGAATAGATAAAATTAGTCACGCTTGTTCGTTTGCCGATTTCTACCGAGAGACATTTCAGCTCGCCTGCATAATCTCTCAAAGCACGATTTACAGCACTCGCTAGAAAATTCGATTTGTAGAAAATCAAACCATGCAAAGTTTGGTACAGTTCGACTTGTGATAGTTGGGCCCATTTTCTGGGTAAATTTGGAATTTTGCTGATATCTTTCAGAAATGATTCAGTTACGGTGTAGAATATGGAGTTTCTGTTTTCGTCTTTTAAAACATTTTCTACTAAAGTTCCACTTTTTGTAAAATAAACGTTTTTACTGAAAAAGTCGGGTTCATTCCAATACATTTCCATGTGCGTGCACGTCCAGTTATAGCTGACAGGCAAGTATAAATGTTGGAACTGACAGGGTTCAAAAACACAAATTTGGAAATTTCGATTGGTAATATCAGCTAGCAGAAGTCCTTGAGTAATTGCCATCATCATAGAAGCCAAGTTTCCACATTGATAATTATGCAAGCAAATGTAAACCAGTTCCCGCTTCGTGGTAGAGTTCGGCTTCAGGTGAACTTTTATCAAGTTTTCACGAGATAACATGAATTCGTTTCCGTATTTGATGTATTCTTCTTCCGTTTGATAAATCTCCATCACGCCTGAATTTAAGGACGAGCATTTTGTTTAAATTTGCCACAAATAAATTGTAAGTATCAGTGAGCTTTTTTGAGCGTCTAAGGGTTGCACTTTAACTAGTTCTTCCAGCATTTTCATCCCGGCACCAAAAAGATTTTAAAAATTGCATTCAAATGACTGTTATAACGAGAGATTTTTGTTGCTGTACAGTAATGCCAAATTTTCAAAGAAAACAGTATATCTTCAGCATTTCTGGAATGAAATCTTTTTTTTTTAATTTTTCTAAACTCTTGCGAGAGCAAGTGTCTGAAACAGACACCTGTGATACAACAAACAGAAAATTGTAAGCTTGCAGACAGAAGGTGAGACGAAACTCTTTAAATCAAAGAATTTTTTTTATTTCAGAAAAAAACTACCAATACGAAAGTTTCACTCATTTTTTTCGAATGATGTTCAAGAAACACAATGATAAGAAACACAATTAGTGCCTTTCAAAAAACATTCAAAATCTTGTAATGAGCGGCACCTAAGATGCCGCTACATAAACTGAAAATAAAATTTTGTCATGGAAAGTTTGGAGCTTTTAAACATTGAAATTCGAAGTTTTTATGTCTCATCCCTACTGAAGGGCTTAAATTTAAATTTATTTTCAAACGACGCAAAATAAGATTAATAAATTAATATAGTATAATCCTAACCCATTTAGCCTATAAAACAAAAAAAAAAGAAATATGAAAGTAATCAGAGTTCATTTATTTATAATTACAGATATTTTGAATAAAAAATATCTGCGCTTCGGGAAGTTAGGCGACAAAAAGTAGTAGACAAACACTAGTCCTACAATTCAAGTCTTACAAAAAAAATCATATTCCTCGCATCGAATAAAAACAAGGTTCAGCGGGATTCGAACTCTAGACTTTATTCTGCGGAATTACGTGCTAGCTTCTGGACCAAGTGAGAAGGAAATTGAGTTATTAAAAAAATATAATAAAGCATGGTTATTTTCATTAAGATTTGTGAGAAAAGTTGTTTACGGGAAAAAACTTCTAGTTACCGATTTCAAATATTTGCTCTCACATGTGAAATAATTGCGTTCTAGATTTCTCAGAAAGTTTTTTTCTTGCGTTGAAGAGTTTCGGGCACTTGGTAAATCTAATTCGTTTGTTCATTCCACTAGTTTATTTTTCATCTGTCCATTCATGTCAATTGAGTTTTTGTCGGCTTTGGTTTTCTATATGGTGACGTGGCTGTTAATCTCGTCTTTTTTTAGCTAGTCTTTTTTTATTTTTTTTAAAATTTTAGCCCAAATACTTTTTTGTAGTAGAATATTGCTATTTGTTCCGACCAACCCCACAGTTTTAATTTTTTTTAAATACTACGGGAACATACAGTGTTTTGCTGCGATAGGAGCAGCTTTGTTGTTCTGATCATTTCAATACAACATGAACATGCAGTGTTTGCCAACAGTGTTTTATTCAACGGGAACATACATGCAGTGTTTTGTCCTGATAGGAGCCTCAGAAAACTTTGTATATGGTCCAGTGTGATATCATTTTATAAGCCTGTCTAGCTCTGATTCGGATTATAATAACTCTCAAATGAATTGTCCCTCTCGAGAAAAATTGGTCGGAATGGCTTCGGGATTTCAATTAAAATTAGACAAATTGATCAGAAGCTGACCTTAAAATTTTATCTTACAAGAATTTTAACGTCATTTTAGTTTCTTATATCCTTGTCATTCTTGCGTTGTCGGTCATAGTTCAATATATTTTTCAGGAAAATGTTTTTCAAAAAATTAGACCAAAAACCAAAAAAAGATATGTTACAAATTGAGCATTTGCTTTAAATTTTTTTCTTCACTGTGGTGGCACTATTATATGCTACTTTCAAAGCAGCCGGCTATCCTTATTTTAATTTTTAAGGTTCCTTGAAAACAAGTGTTTTGATCATTGTTATTGGTCCAGGAAATTTTTTTCCAGAATAAAGTATCCGATACTTTCTTCATAAATCGGAATAACAAAATTATTCTCAGAACAATAAAAATATCAGAACAATAAACAATCAATTTAAATTTTAATCTTGTCATTGTTCCGACCATTGAAAATGGGGAGAAACTCTGTATTCGGGTGTGCTTTAGTTTTTTTTATTTTCCACGAAAAATCAGCCACCACAAATAATCATCGAAGTAAGTTGAGTGATATATCATATTAAAGCCCTTTCAGTCGAGAAAATTTGTTCTGAAATCTTTGATTTTTCGTCTAATTTCGAGAGCGTAAAGCGAGCAAGCAGGCCTACAATAGCTTATTTATGCTTAATTTAAGCCGTGAAAATTTAGTATTACTCGAGTAAAATTATTTGTTGGAAATTTTTGGCGCTATTTTGGGAATCAAAATGAAGAAAAATTCAAAAAATTCTGCAAGTTTTTTTTTTGATTTTGTATCATAGTTTCTGTTTTTCTAAACATTTTCTTTAAAAAAATTGTCCAATTTCCTTAGTTTACTATGATATTCGAATTCGCACAAGTTTTAGTCTTTCGCTTAGACGCTTAGATCTTTTTTTATCACACCACATAGATAAAACCTCGCTAATTTGAAAAAAAAAAAATATTTTGTGTTTTTTCTTAAGACTGGTCGGAACATTCTGTGCTATTTGCACAGTGACCGGCTATCCTTGTTTGAATTGCCAAGGTCCGAACTTCCAGAAAAACGCCTGAAATTAATAGAAGTAAAATTTTAGAGTGTTCAATGCTTACAATTAGATAAATGTCTTATAGATATCAGAAGTCAAATATTTGGAAAATATTGACGGTTTTTCTCTTTTTTAGTGTCTAAAGTTTTTTTCTTATTTGTCTAGCGATTTTAAATATAAATCAAGAAATCAAATTGTAAACCATAAATTGATTGCTATTGATTGAAATAAAATTTCAGATGCTCGTCATTTTGCCAGTGTTTCGACTCCTATTGCAAGTTGCATTTTCGAAGGGTAAAAAATGTTGTATAAATTTTGCCCTTTCTGAGCGCGCGTTTTTGTAAATGTTTCGTTTGCGACCTTCGAAAAGGCCAGGAGGTGTCATCATCAGCAGTAAAATTGCGATAATGACCAATAGTGGGGCCAAGCGAAGTAAAAATATTAATTTTCTCATTCAAATACAATATAATTTTAACACTTAGCAATTGCAACACATTGTAACTTTAACACACAATTTTATTAGAAAATTGATTCACGCTGATATGATAAATTGTATTTTGCAACATGGATAACGGAATTATGGTCCTATGGTTTTCCCATCTGTGGATCCACACAATATTTTGTGTGAAAATAAGCAAATAAGAATTGAAATTGATTTCTTTGTTTAGTATTTTAAATATCTCGTCAATCTGATTCAAATAAGTATTTCGATGCTGTATGCTTTTAATCTGTAAGGATATGGTATGTCAGTAGTAGTTTAAGGTCTCGATTCTGAACTAAATCAATAGCAACGCCAATTAATTATCACTTGACATTAACCTGACAGAAGTTCTGCACCAGGAAGCAAAGAAGTTGCATAAGGAAACAATGAAGTTACATAATGTGTGTGATGAGAAGCAATAAGTTATGTAATAAGTTGCGTCATCTGGTTCTTTCAGGCAATTCTCCTGCAGTTTCGGGCGTGAACACTCCCATTAAGAAAGTGTCCACTAGCATTGCAGCTGACGGTAACTTTTTGAGTGGTCTGAATTGAAGTGGAGCGAAGCTTTCAGTTGTGTTGAGTGCACTCTTTTGAGCTTTTTAAAAACTCCCCACCTCTCCCAGAAGGGGGGAAATTCGCAACCAGTTTCAAGATTCGATATACTTAACTGTTGGATTAGAAACCACTATAAAGGTGGATGTTTGCAGCTGGATTCTAAAAGAAAGGAAATTGTTAGGAATATCCCTTTCTTTAATTCTTGGCTTTGTTTTGTCATTTATAGAGAATTTAAGATCCGAAAATCCGTTTTTGGAAAGTCAATGTTAAGAGAATATCGCACGTTTTTTGTCCCTCACATATTTCGCCCCGCATTAATTACGAGTTTTGTGTCCACGTAAAAGACATATTAGGCGAAATGTGTGAGGGGCGAAACAGAAACAGCCAACTAAATTTCAAAGAGTTGATACGTGTGTAGACCATGCAAAGTATGTTTGGGACTAGCCACCCCCCCCCCCCCTCAGTTCTGTTTGACCATTTTTTCTGCGCTTGTCACTGTTTATGATAAGTCTGTCTGTCGAGTCCTCATAGTTTGTTCACTTTCATTTTTTTTGATGTCGACATTTTTAGTCCACAGAAAACCTCTACGGAAATCAGAAATTTCAGATGGGTTTGAATTGTAGTCTTAATTTTAAACGGGAAGATAATTAAGTATTATCCGTAAAGAGTAACTTTAGAATGATATGGAAGTTTTTTTTCAACCAATTAGAAATTCACTCAGTTACGTAATAGTTAAGGTAAATCAGTCGAAGATGTTAAAAAGTGACGTTATAATTGTGCAATATTTATGTAATGCTTTTTTAATCTAGCAAGCAGTCCAGGGGGCAAAGGTGGCGGTGGCCAGCCTGCGCCTGGATCTCAGGACATCATGGCCATGATCTCTCCAGAGCAGGAGAAGGTGAGTCTGGGCAAGGGACTGAAGGCGAGGGGAAATGTGGAGGACTGGCTGGGAAAAGTGGAAGACGCCATGTTCTCCAATTTGAGGAAGATCACAAAACAGGCCATACAGGTTAGACCATACAAATCATAATAAAAAGACCATACATGTAATTACAAAGATATACGCGAACATGTACAGTACAAAAACTATACTCTTATTAGATATTCATATAAGGCCATATTCGTATTCATATTAGGCCATAATATTCATATTAAGCCATGAAAGTCATAATAAGCAAACCAAACAAGCCATATGTATGAGATCATGGATTTACAAGCTATACAGGAGAAAGAGAAATGGCGTTGCATGTTTGTTGGCTCTTTTTGTTAATTCTTTTTCCGGAGAGGATGATCGGGTAGATGGTTTATTGGCCACCTTCCAAGCTCTTTGTCGATCGCTTCTCCCCTCTTATTTATTTCATAGATTATTCGTTTGTATATTAACCAGCGGAAGTATAAACCAGACGAAAAAGCATAATTGTTAATTAGTATTTATGTAACAGATATTGAAGTCTTTCAAATTTCATTGATATGATGTAACTTTTCGGCTGGATTATACACTCGAGATTATTCAATGATCGATTCAGTTATTTTTGTTTGGATGCTTTGGATTACAAACTCTAGGACTTTTATCGTATAGCAGTATCCATTTACCCCAATGTTGTCATCAGTTGACCCCTCTGACTTTCAAATTACTGTAATTATGATGCTTTTTATACTAAAGCTGTGTAAATGTAATTTGTTACGATGAGAAATAAGTTCTTTTTATTCCTCTACAAGTATATATTTTTCTTCATCTGTTTTTTTTCAGGAGTACCACCAGAAGTCTAGCAAGGCGGAGTGGATCAAGAGCTTCCCCTCCCAAGTGGTGCTGACAGTGTCCATGATCTACTGGAGTGGGGAAGTCACTGACTGCCTCGCCACTGACAACAATGTACTCAAGGCTGTCGCCGACTACGAGCAGAAATGCTTCCAGGTACTCTCTCATCAGTTCACTTGTCTCAGTTTCCATTAAATTAGAAACCTTATCTTGAAGTTACGATGAAAGTTGCTCTGACTTGTGTAATGATTAGAAAGGGGGGAGTATTTTTTGGCGGACGCCCTGGTCGATTCGACCCACTGACAGTTGCTTGAGGGGAAAAACAAGTATTTTTCTTACTCAGCCCAGAAAATGTCCAAAAAATGTGTTATTTTCTTTATCAAGGCACAATGTAGCTCTCCGTGATCAGCTGCACAGCTCGTAGGTTGGTCCTTTCCCTCGTGGATAAATCGTCTTAAATCTAAGTGTTAAATTAAGTTAAGTCCTGTAATTTTGTTCATGTTGTTTAGAACCTGAACTACTTGGCCAGTCTGGTTCGTGGTAAACTGACCCCCCTTGTGAGGAACATCATGTGTGCCCTCATCACTCTGGACGTACACTGCAGGGACATAGTCACAGACATGGTCAAGGTCCAGGTTAGTCACGTGACCCCACCCCACCACATAGAATTTTAAAACGGCACGCATCAACTGAATACAATTATGGATGAATCTCATAGCTAGCTATTTACCCTTGCGATAAGCTATGGTTTTGCAATCGGGTACTAGACTTTTTGACTTTTTCCCCCGTGAATAACTTTGTTCACAGGACTCATTTTATCTCCTGGACTCATTCATCTACCGGGATTTTCTGTTGCAACAGACATAGTTTGAGCAATTTAGCATTTTAAATATACGGCCTAATCGAAATTTGCTTTTTATGTTGGTTGCAATTTTACCAAGTCGATTTGTTAAAGTTTCCATTCTGTTTCGTTTTTTTCTTTTTTCGGCTTAATAGTTTTTCGGCTTATTTTATATTGCTTTAGTGGCCTCTCATTGTTTCTTTTGATGACCAAAAAAATTTCGTGTGCGTGTGTATCTTTTTGGGGAGAAGGGGACTTAAATTTTTTAGTTCAGATTTTTTTCGAATTACTTTTTGGTATGGAAGGTTTCTGCTCAGGTTTATTCAACTTTGTTATCGCTTGGTAATTAGAAAATCGAAATCTATGAACAATGCGGAGCATCTGGCGTAGAGGTAACACAATTGCTTGAGACGGCAATAGCTTGTAGTTCGAATCCGATTGCAACCTATTTTTTGCAAACTAGAGTTTTTGTGCTTTTTTTGGTCTATCGTCCGTCTGTTTATTTTTGTCGGCTTAGTTCTCTTAGCCCGCTTTTTCTGAAGGTTCAGCTTTCTTCAAAGGTGCGGTAACCATATCTGGGAGTTCGATTCCATTCGATACCTGTTTTTTTGCAAGCTGAACATTTTTGGCTAGGTTAAATTATAGTCTGTCTGCTTATTTTTTTCAGCTTACTTCCGCAGAAAACACTCCTCTGAAAATTCGTTTTTTTTTCTGAAAGTTTTTATTGGTTCACTTTTTTTCCGGTTATTTTGTCAAATGATAATAAGTCTTATTTGAGTAAACTTATTTCTCAGATCGGGTTAGGATCAATTTTGAATCTCACTGTCCGTTTTTTCGCGAAAACATTTTAAGGCCTATTTGCTAGCGGATTAACTGCCTCATAAAAATTGTCCATGTGTGTATGTGCGCGTATGGTTTATGGCGTGCGGAAGTAGCTTTTGTTTCGAGGAAGTTTTTAGAAGGGTTTGTTTTTTGGTGCGCGCTTTTTCCTTTCAAAACAAGTATATATTGGTGCCAATGCGACTTTTGAAAGTTTTTAGTCGAAAACCATTTTGATATGTCAGCCAGATAGTAGCAAAGAAAATCAGAGAAAACGGAGAAACAGAAGCTAATCCATAGTTCCTTTCCACCTCCTACGAGTAAAAAAAATAGTTATTAAGTTTTAATGATAAAAATTCCAATTACTAAAATTTAATTTTACACTCAAAAGCAAAGGGTGGAATATGGACTTTTCAAAGGAGGCGAGGTGTGGATATTAGTCCGAAAGTTCCGTTTTGGAAATGAAAAAAGTTTTAAGCTTTCAATTGCGTTATTTTTCCCCACAAAAATTTGTCAGTATTGGGACCTTTAGAAAAATATTAGGGCAAGTTGATCAATATTGGACGTCGTAAAAAAGAACCAAGTGCAATTCTCCGATACAATGAGTTTTTTTTCTGATGAAATCAGAATGTTTGTACTTTCTTTACCACCTGTATGGACTAATCCTGCTTGATCCACCAAGCAACGTTGAATCCGTTGCGTTTTTTTAAGTATTTTAGCTTCACTTTCACAAAACAGTTGGAGTAGTCAAAGCAGTTGTAGCTGTTTGTTTCGAATAATTTAATCTCAAGTCTGCAGTTATTAGATTATACCAAAAATTTGCAATGTCAACTAAACTGGTCCGCGATTTGTACCGACCGAATTCCCGAATGGATTCGGCACATGAAGGGGAGACTAAACTAATGCGAAAGAAGCGCTTCGTTCAAGATCTAGTGCAACAATGGGCTTCGCCTAGCACCCGCCCGTACGATATAACTCTTCCTCGCAACGCGCTGGAGCAAAGCATCCTCGAGAAAGAACTACTCGTGTTGTCGGATAAACGAATGCGAGCGCTACGCAAGGCTACTTACGAGAAACGAATGTTCATCCATCAAATGCGATCTAAAAGTAAAGGACTGAATACTCTTGTTGCGAGGCTAAACTTGCAAGAGCAGAGCGACAATTTCACGCTTGACTTCGCAGCTGCCACTAGAATTCCACCGCCTGTTGCCTTTACTGCCGACGAAGAATTTTTGCTCTCTGAAGAAATTTTTCAGCAGCGAACGGAACAGGAAAACATGCATAATAATCGGAGAATCGCCAAGTCGTTTGAACATTATTGCTCAACGCAAGCAAAGTTAGGACGATTTAGCCCGATAAAAGCAGAAGAACTCGAAGGTTATGGGTCGAGATCTGGAAGCGGTATGTCGGGAGTTAATCCAAGAACGCCAAGAGGTTTGGGGTCTGGCCATTCCAATTTCACATCAAAACTTTTGGCGAAACGTCAGCATTCGGAGGAATCTCAAATGTCGACAAGGTTCAATAGTTTGTCGTTAGAGGCCATTTCTGACGACTGACTGATTTGTTGGTTCTTCAACTGCATTCTTCAAGTGCATTGATTTAAAAGCATTAATTTGATGAAAATTTTAATTTTCTGATGATTTAAATGTGGCTGTTATACAGATTTGTCGAACCAAATTTCATCTCGATTTGTTTGATTTAAGATGCGTCTCGGAGACAATAATAGAATACAATTTCCGTCTTTTTCTTCAAAAATTACCTTCTGAATCATGATAATTGTTTTCGGCTCATTTTTGTTGTAATCTTAACCCTTGCAATAAGCAAGGGTATTGCAATCGATTACTGGACTTCTTTCCCGTAAATAAATTTGTTTACAGGATCTCCAATTTTAGAAGATCTCCTGTTTTACCCAAGTTGCACGGGGTAAAATTTGCCGGGTGTTTTTTCATAACATTCAATTCGATTTTTTTATTCAATTCAATTGTTAGGAACGTAACTATGTTTTATGGATTTTTCAACTTTAGTTTGTGGCAATTTTATTTTGAATATTTTGGCTACAATTGTATTTCATAAATTCAATCAACTATCTGGCTCATAGATAACACACCTGCTTGAGACGACAACGGTTTTGGTTCGAATCCTGCCAGTTTTTGTTGTTTTTGAAAACTGGAGTTTTTGTGCTAGCGTTTATTTTTGTCGGCTTAAATTCAGTAGCCTTTTTTTGTAGATTCAGCTTTTCTCCAGATTGCTGCAACACCCATGCTTGAGATGAAAAATCCCGGGAGTTGGATTCTAGTCGGGACTTGATTTTTTAAAGTTTTCGGCTATTTTTAGATTATTGTGTTGTCGTAAACTTAAGCGACAAGGTCTAAATGAATTAGATTGACGAAGGTTAGAATATTTAATTATTGAGAGTGCTGGTGTTGGTAGCAACTCTAGAATTAGTAAGCTAACTCAAAATATTGATATCAAACATTTCAAATTAATATCTTCATTTACCAACATGGTATCCAGAGCGCTTTACAATGAAGTCAAAGTTTATTTCCATGACATTACTCTAATTCTCTTGAAAAATCTTCCCCTATGGTTGGAAAAAAGCCTCGTGAACTTTTTCGCTCGTTCGTCCAAGAATTTTATGTCTTGCTGCCTTTAAGTTGCTTCAACCATTGTTGTCGTGAGAGTATTCCATTTTCTCACATATGATCTGTTCAAGGTGATAGACGTTGGTGGAGTTTTTTGAAAGAAATCTTTTAGAAATCTCGCTTTGCCCATTAAATTGTTGATTTCTATCGGTTATTTGCTCCAATGATCTAACATGCATCTCCGTGACTACCAAAACACATTGATCTTTTAGGACTAAAGTTCATCTTCATTGAACTTGACAGAAATGGCTTAATTCCAATAGTTTTTCAGAGGAATTTAAGTTCTAAGATGCGGCAGCAGGTTCGTAATAGAAATAATATTGAATGATTGAGGCTGCTGGTCATGCAAGTAGCTCTTAAGGTAGTGTGCAAACTCATCAATTGGATATCAAACAATTCAAGTTAAGACATTCATCTACAAGTATAGTATCTCGAGCGCTTTACAAACACGTCAAATTTCATGCTGTTAATGTCTTTGAAGTTGCATTTGTCCCTTTTTGTCAGCTTAATTGCTACAGTAAGGACATTTTTCGAAAATTTAACTTCATTATAGCATTCCAAAAACTTCTTTCAAAGTTTCTATTGTTGCAAGTAGTTTTGTTCCGAATATTTTAGACTTTTCAGTTTTATTAACTTTTTTGACAAAATTGATTTTGATGTTTTTTTTTTCAATTTTGATTTTGTTAAATATGAATCATAGTCATTCATTCTTGTA